ACCTATTTGTCCGAAATTAGGGCATGTGTCCGGAATAAGAGCACTTTCACTCCCTAATTTCGGACAGCACTTAAAGGGCTACACTGGCTGACCATGTTGAGCTATACATTCAATATGGGGGTCATTCGGTAGGTCCTGACCCAGAGTACCTCCAATCTCAACAGATTTTTCATACTCAATCAAGTGTCCACGAAACACACTAAAAACAGCCAATTTTGTCCGAAATTAGGGCTCATGACTGTATCGCACAGGGCTCAAACTTTGCACAGGGTCTCTACTAGGTCTAATCTATCATTAAATGTGCGTACCTCCGAAATCGCCGACTTCGACTACCAAAATGAGATGACCTAGGGGCGGGCGTCGCGCACTGCGACCTTCGACCTCTCTACCGCCCGGTGAGACTGGGTCCAGCAGGAAGGTCGGTCCACGTCATGGACGTGGACTGGACACCCCCCGCCGCGGGGCGAGGTTAGGACCTTCGGCCTCATTCCGCCACTGCCGGCGGGCGACACCCAACTAGTAGTGAGTAGTGAGCGCCCCAGACACGCACACCCTCGCGAGCCCGCCAGCCTCCCCGCGCCCTGGGCACCGCTCGCTCACCCGGCCCCAGCTCAGCGTAAACCCCATGTCGCGTGTCGCGGTCTGCGGCGTCCCCGTCCCGTCCCAGCACACCCAGCGGCGCTTGCTCATCGCGCTTGCTCATCGAGATCTGTCTGTGCGAACTGCCTCCAAAGAGGGTGAGCGCGCGGTCGAAAAAGGTAACGATGGCGGGTTGGCGTGACGTTGGTCCTTAACAGCCGGAACACAAGTTGAGCCGATGAGCGGGTAACACACAACGTGGCGCGACGAGCGCGTCTCGGCGGCTGCAAGCACTGCTGCAACGGCCACCACCACCAGCAGCACCACCACACAGCCCCTCTACCGCCAACGCCTCGCCACCAACACCACCAAATGATGGGGGAATCGTTGCGACGCCATGCCACGCCCCGCCACGCCCCCTGCCACACCACACCACACCCCGGAACACCACGCTGCGCCTCGCCGCAGCACTCCCAACTTTTCCCACAAAGGCAACTTTTCACACAGCAGCAGCCCTCCTCCAGCCTTCCATGTTGCGTAAGGGTGGAGGCCGGAGGCCGCCTCGAACCGGTGGTGGCCGAAGAACACTGGGGGGTGCCCCCCGCCCGGCCCCGCCGCCCCTCCCACACACTGTGCAGCAGGATCAGGCGGCGACATGTCTCCGCAACTAAGCTGCGGACGGCCCGGCCCGGTCCCGCCCAGCCCCGCCCGACCCCTCTGGGAGCACTCAAGATTTTCTTCGGAGAAGATTCGTTGTCTGCCACCGCTGCTGCCACCCTCCCCCTTCACACGCTCTAGCCCTCTCGAGCCCGGACCCCAACGACATGCACACAGCGCGTTAGGTTGGGCCCCAAGGGTGGAAGCTCTTTTATCAATCTCGCTTCTCGCTTCATGTCTCTTTTGCGGAACGCACAGTGACTCTGATATTCACGATGAGTTTCATGAGTTTTCATTCCGGTCACGAGTACAGTTTTTATGCCTCTCCATAAAATAACTACTCGTATGGCGGAAACCAGTAAGGCTATTACGTGCCACCTCGTCGCGTAGTCTCGTGGTCTCGTAGTCGCGTAGCCGCCTGCCTGCCTCGGCACCTCGGCACCCACCCAGTGGAAAAGTGGAAATGCAGCGTCCTCCGTACGCTCCCTACACTTTTACGTCACACAGCACGCAGCCACTACACGTCACAGCGGACAGTCTCCGAGCCGCATTACCCCTTTCCAATGCCGACGCGGCTACGCGGCTATACGCGGCTATACGCGGCTATACGCGGCTATACGCGGCTACACGCGGCTATACGCGGCTACACGACTACGAAACTACGCAACGAGGTGGCACCTAATAGCCTTACGGAGCTGCTACCCCGCCGTCTCCTCTCTTTTTCTCACGATGTCACCCACACTGCCTGTCCTGATGGAGGCCGCTATGGAGGAAGAATAACAAGAAGAAGGGGTAGCGTTGGCCGTGCGGCGTGGCGTGTTGCAGTAACCACCCACAAGCATTTTTCTTTCACCAACATTTTAGATTGGTACGAGAAACTGGCAAACTTCGGAGGCGATCTTTCTTCTCAATTGTCAGAGCATCAAGGAGGACAATTTCGGGCTGGGCTCTCTTGCCCTGATGGCCGGGGGAAAAAATTATCACGGGGCCCCTTCTAGTCCCTATGAACTAATCCCTGAACCTAATTGGGGAATGGCATGATAATTGCCCTCCCCCCTTTCCCCTTGAGAAACCAGCAACTGAGCCGATCGGTCTGCCTGATCCCCCCCGCACGGGGTAAGCTCGGACCGCACGGGGTAGCGTCAGCGCGGCCGGCGGCCCGACCCACCCCCGCGGACCAGTGGCGCCACCGGGCGAGCGCGCGGCGAACCAACCTCCTCTCGCTACCCCGATCAACAGATATCTATGACGGCAAGGCACGATCTGAGTGTTGCACTGAGGATTGCAAAGTAAATAGGCATCTGTTTGTAAATTTACAGCACATTTCCAATTTTACATTTCGCCAATCGCCAGTTACCCTATCTGTCCCTAGTTCCAGCTTGTGTTCCCCTCTCCCACCACAACTCATCACGACCATCGTCCTTTTTCTCCTCCGGACAGCGCTCCGCCTCCTGCACACAAACAACCGTTGCCGTGTTGGTCAAACGCAGTCTCACTCCAACGGCGCAGGAGGGGGCTGTCAGTTGGCCCCGAGGCTGCCCCTCCGCAGGTGCAAGAGGCACTGGGGGCCGTATGGAGCCCTTATAATAAATCCTCCCGGTGAGGCCAAGAAGAAGAAAAAGAACACGGGGAGCAAAGAAAACGGATGTCGCGCCATGATAGTGATTTCTGTTTTTCTTGTTCCCCGCATTCTTTTTCAGACGGCATGGGATTCGGCCCGGCGAGCACACGGGAAACGGAGGAAAAAGTTATTGCTCTCATGCCATGGCATTAGCATTTTGACAGTAAAATTGATGTAGATTTTCAGGCTTGATAAGGAGAACATGGTTGTTCTTCTAGCAGGTGTTATCTTCTCTACTTTCTTCGCCGATTTCTGGGTGTGTATCCGACCCACCACTCCCTCTTACCAGCTCCGCCATATCCCACATCTCTCCGCGCCAGTCCCTGGCGCCCTGGACGCCCCGACGACACTCGGTAAGTAGAAATGACGCCAGAGCTGCGACCACCGCTCGTTGTTATGGAGGGCTCTTCTCCAGTATTCTGTACGCTGTCCTTACCCCCCCCCCCCTTCTCTCTCTCTCTCTCTGACTCTGACTCGAGTGCAAAGGAGAAGAACAACTTCCAAGGCCAGCCCGTAGTCCTGAGGAGGCGTCATCCCCTTCCACCAAAAAACGAGAATTTATTATTTTATTTTCCTTATCTCCACAACTTTTACTATACAAAATTTAGACGCAGACTTTAAAGAAAAGGAAAATATAATAGTACGGATGGTGCAATGTGGAGCCATGATGTCTCACTTAGCTTGGCCAAACGTAAATTTTAACTACTATGGCGTAAATCAATTTCTATATGAAGCTGAATTTGGAATTTACCTTTCGCTTGGCTTTCGCCAGCCGCTGGTCCCGCAAGTTCTCCGCCTCTCCCGGTGTGCGCTTCCCCCAGATGACGACCGCGATCCTCGTGTAGGTGTAGAGGAGCACGGCGAGCGGCGCGAAGTACTGCAGCGACATGAGCGCCAGCGTGTAGTAATGCCGGTACAGCGGGCTGGGCCAGTCCTCGAGGCAAACCCACCTGGGAGGAAATAAATAGATTTATCAACAATTTAACGCCTCCTCCTAAATAAGGGGCTACCAACGCGACGGAACGTTTGGCGGATGAATGCATATTCGCACAGCCCCTGTTAGGTCCCATTTTGTCACCGCAAAACCCACCAGAGCAACTGCATGCGGTTCTCCTCTCGCATTGTTCTGATGTTTTGGCATTGCGGATGCCTGCCTGGCCCGGGCCGCGAAATCCATTTTCATCCCTCACATAATTCCCATCCAACCGTACTCCTGCCAACACCTCAATGCCAATTCAGCACCCGGAACCAAGAGGACGTGAAATCCGGGGATGGAGTTAATTATACCGTGGGTTTGCTTTATTTCACGGCACGCCCGCGCAGCTGGCGCGAGCTGCCTGCAGCCAGCCAGAGGTGGGGTGTGAGACAAAGAAAGTGCACACGGCTGAGCGCACCGCGAGGCTTGTTTTTCTAACGTAGCGCAGCTGTCACATATTTTATATATTTTTTGCATATTTTGGTTTGGCACCGTTGTAAGAGATTAATCAACTCCGATAAATTCACTTTAAAAAACAAAGTTTTCGAAAAAACACGAGAAAAATTGCAATCATGCTTTGCTACAACGCGTGTTCTCAGAAATTGACAAATACGACAAACTGTGATCGGGTTTTTGAGAAAATCATCGACTCTTGAAAAATGCAAAACGAAGCATTACGGTCCTCACTTTAATTTACACCACCCAGTAGTGTGATTTCTGTGGTTGTGGATGTACTCACTTGCCGCAGTGCGCGTGCCAGCTGTCGGGCTGCGTGAGGCGCGTCACCATGGGGATGGGCAGAGCGGTCAGGATGGCGAACACCCACACGAGCAGCATGGCGCCCTGCGAGAGGCGGCCCGAGAGGCGCGGACGGAGCGGCCACATGATGGCGAGGTAGCGGTCCACCGAGATGGCCACCAGCGTGTAGGCCGACACGAGCACCGACACGGTCTGGCAAAAGGACACCTGGAACACCGAGACACAAAATGAAGCGCGTGGGTAGGTAAGGGGGCGGAATGTTGACACTGCCAAAAATAGTGTGCAACTTGCATGCTGGCAGTGTTCATGTTCAGCTCCATGGTGCACGCTGTTAGGTGTACGGTTGATAGAAGTTTTTACAAGTGTTCAGCAATAAATTTGAAAAATTTTTAAATGTTCAAACCCTGAGGTTGAACACTTAAAAGAGTGCAACGATTTGTTTTTGTTAAGCACTTTGCATGTGCACGCCAGCAGCACACTTTTCCAGAGTATTGTTTTATCGGCCCTGTTCCCGTGGGTAACGGCTCGACGCCGTCTCAGCCAGCAGCAGTGGCAGCAGTGTATCAGCTCGGGGCGCGAGATATCCAATTCGCTCGGTTGGCGCCTTCGGCCTGGACGCCCGTCCCCCGGGCCCGGGGGCCCCAACGGCTGTGCTCGGCTGTGGCGCGGCGTCACTTTTCCATTTTGTGCTTCCGCCTCGTCTACAAGCCGGGTGCAGCAGGTCCAGTGGAAGCCCCCCCCCCCCCCCCCCAGCCTCCGCTGCTCACTGAGTTAAGCCAGCGGTCCCCGCGGGCCGTGAGCGCGGCGGCGGTGGCAGCGATGTGATACCCCGCTGCCCCCCGGGAGGGAGGGGACCGGACGGGACCGGGAATGAAAAGTGAAATTTACTGTATCGGCCGCCGGGCCGGGCGGACGGCGCACCTGTTGGCGACCTCGCTGCTGATATCCGCAACCCCTCCCCCTTGGCTCAGTCTGACCCCTCCCCCCCCAACAAACCTCTAAGACCATCCACGACGACACCCGGAAAAACCCGCTATTGTAACAAGAAATTATTGTATAATAATTGTCCTAACGCAGTGTTCTTGAGTCCAGTTAGAACATTTTCTTTTTACAAGAACGGCGAGGGGTGGACCCGGGTGGACCACTCGGATATTTCACGTACTCGGTGATTCAGAGAAGACGCAGGTGCGGGCGGGTTTGCCTACCCAAAGGGCTATGGCGCCTTACGGGGACAGGGCAGAGCGGGTAGGCAAACCCGTCTGCACCTGCGTCTTCTCTGAATCCCCCGGTACACACTGAAAATTTTTCCAGATAATAAATAAAATAAAATAAAATATTCCGGATATTCTAACAATTTTTTTTCAGAGAATCCAAGAAAACCCAGAAAATATTCCACATATTTCATGTACACAAACAATGTGAGTGGTCGACCCCTCGCAGAGCGGGCATTGGGATTTTCGGGGTGTACTCTACACTACTCCATAATCACGGACGTGCGGGTGGTACCGAACCCCCACGTGCCACCGGGTGAAGATCAGCGCAGCGCCCATTGTCAACAACTTGGACGGGGAGGGGGTTTACTTTCTTTGCTTGACTCCCTTCGTACCGATAATGTCCAGTAGTACAGTATCTCTTGCCTGGGCCGGGCGGGCTGAGGCCTCCTCACCCGCATTAGTCCCCCCACCCCCTAGCCCAGCCCTCCAGCAGCAACAAGCGGAGCGGCACGGCACAGTCGAGGGAGCCGAGGGAGGCAGAGGGAGGCGCGCCCATACAGTCGCAGGCCGTGCCGTGATGTTTTTGCCCACCCATCAGGTGGCTTATTAAGGTTCCCCAACCTTTGCTGGACCAGCGTGCCCCTTTCTCGACACGCAAACCTGCCCCCTCCCCTTCTCCGAAAAAAGCCAGATGGCGTCTTCCGTGTGACTTGTCCCTTTCTATTTTTCAGCGCAGCCCGCCGCTTGAGTGTGTCCAACACTTTCGCGTCGCGACGCTGTGCTTCTCGCTTCGCGGCGGAACCCCACGTCGCGTCGCGACTCAATGCGGGGTCGTCACACAGAGTTCTGTGGATCGTTGACGGGGACGACAGGCTGCGCGCCATTTTTAAAATGAAAAAAAGAAAATCAAAAGAAATATATCGGCTTTCCTCACGCGAGCCGCAGCACCTTGCTTCGCGCGGCGGGTGTCAGAGACTGACAGGGACAGACGACCTCATCATCAGCCATCAGAAAGCATCACGTCGGCCGTCCTACGGCCTCGCTTACGGCTTTTCTCCCTAACCTGAGTTATGGAGTCATTTCTACATCACCTAAAAGGACACGATGACATCAATTTAACGTCACTGTAGCCAAAATTTAGTCAGCTCGACGGTCAGAAATTACGTCATATGCGAATCAGCATTTGACATTTCCTTGTAACGCCACTTTAGACAGTCAAATGGCAAAATTTTGACCAGTGACATCAATTTGTATGACGTCATCGTGACAAATTTCTGCGTCCCCTTCGGTACTGCTTCAAACACATGTCGACCTAGTAGGACTTGCCAATATTTAGGTTAGTTGAGGACAGCTGTGGCTTCCTGGAAATGAATGAAAAATAACGCAAAAAGTAGCGCAGGTGTGATATTTATTCACCAGCTTCTGGCACGTCCGTCTATTTCTTCTTGGTAAGTGTGCGCGCGTGCCACTCTGCATATGCAAATGACCTTCTCTCGGGAGGACAGGCGCCACACTTGCGCACACCTGCTGGGGCCGCGGTGGGTTTGTGCGCTCGGAACGATAGTGGGGTCGCGTGCGCCGCGCCGCCCTGCCCCCGTCACAGTAGTGCTCATACCCTGCGGTACACCATCCGGGGTGCAGCAGTCCTAGGGCCCATACCACCACTCAGCACTCGGGGGCTGTGGGTACCTATACCCACCCAGGGCCCCGGGGGTATGAACCCTACACGTGTTTCAAAGGCACGTGTTAAACCTACCCCAAGAAAGGTGGTGCGGGGGTGGGTAGTACTACACTGCTAAATTTTCTTGGTTAGAAAATAAGGAATCTTAGATACATCTTAGAAGGAAAGGAAGGAAGCACAACAAATACTCAAAGTCCTAAGTGCCTTTGAGAATATAAATTTTCTGTTCGTTCTTTCAGGCGACAGTGAATTATATTTCGAATAATAATTGGTTTATTTTTACACAATGGAGGTGAAGCCAGTCCAACACTGATGACCTCTTCCGAATCCGGCAAGCCGCAAGTAGTGAGTTTGCGGTAAACAAAGCAGGCGTTGTGCACACCTGCTACGGCCCATTCGTACATGAATGTTGCGTGGGAGTTGAGTGCAAGCTCTGTGTGTGTGCGTGTGCGTGTGCGTGTGTGTGTGTGTGTGTGTGTGTGTGTGTGAGTGAGCGCGCGCGCGGGGGAGGGCGTTGAAACAGAATTTGTGATGGCAGTAACTTTACAGTAGGCAGAGGTCGTTGGCGGGCGCGCCTGTGCCTCGCTCACCTCTGCCGGCGGTGACCCGCACTCCACTCCATAGGAGCACCTTCCTGCTGAAGCACACCTCCCGGCGGACCCGGGCAGGGCGCTCCCCGGCACCAGCACGTACGGCGTGCATCTCTGCACGCGCACTACAGAGTTGCGGAGGGTCCGCCTGCTGCCTCCGGCCGCAAGGCACCACGCCACGGCCCCGCTGCCCCCGCGAGTATCTGATCTGACCCTGCAACACTGTAGCGCGCCGGCAAAGGGGGCGGTGTAGGCCGTAAGGCCGACCTTACATGCTCTCTCACGGCGGGGTCCCCCGGTGCTTACCGGTCTTACAGAGGCGTCATAACTAATTTAATCATTGCCACTTCACCTACCACCGCCCCCCCCCCTTTTCCTTCGCCCTTAGCGCCGGTTGCCCAATCGCAATTCAAGTGGGACCCACGGTGCTCTCGAGAAGTTGGCCCCTTCGGCGCTGCGGCGTCTTCGGACTTACGCCACTCCCCCTCTCCCCGTCTCTCCTAAACTCCTATCTGGGCTCTCTTGAGCCGCCCGTGTACTTACATACTACATTTTGCTGCAAACATTAAGATTCCTTAATGAAAACTCCGCCCGAACTCTAGTACGTTATTGCAGCCGAAGTTCGGTCCGGCAGTCGCCCCTTAGGACGCGGCCTTGAGAGGAAGGCATTGGTCGTATTGGATTGGAATGGTGTGAAGGGCAGTGCAAAAGTAATCTACCGTTTCACAACAGCTTGAGACTTTTAAACTGTGAACGCAGTTTAAAACTATAAAATTGAAATTGTAAATTGAAGGATGAGTTAAAAGTACCAACATTAAACTATTTATTTAAGTGTACGACGGAGAATTTTTACAATAACGACTGAATCCTTTTTTCCAGTTGGTGGGTGTCCTGTCGGTGGAGCCCGCACCACAGCCACAGCTCTATCGTTCACAGCCCCACCCGGGATATGTTTTTTTTTAATTTTTCTTTATCTCTGGGAACCTTTTTGGCGTCCACGTTTATACCAAAGTTTTAATGGTTTTAATACTGCTGATCCTAAAAGACCTCTCCGCACCCCACCCCCCTATCCCCCCACCTCCTGGCCGCGTCTCTCGATCCACCACAAAGAGAAGCATATCAAATGACACCAAACCGCGGCTTCTACCTTGTCACATCGATACCGCCACAGCGGCTTTCCTCGTGGAGGCCGGAGCGGGAGTGGGGGAACAAGGGCAGCCCGCTGCACACTCAAAATTAAGAAGAAATGAATAAAACACAGACTGGAAAAGCAAAGATAGGACTCAACACTCTTCTTGGGGTAAGAATGACTTTAGTATGTACTTTCAGACACATACTAAACAGTCAACACCTCTGGAAAAAGACTAAAAAAGTGTCCTAAAGATACAAAATTTTCGAGAATTCGGAGACTTTCCGTGAACTAAAATTTAGCACATTTTAAAAGGCACCAAAGACCTGCCTCAACTTTGTTTTTCCAGTTTAGTTCTATTTCTGCGCGTCTTTTTACGACGCGCCAAGGGCGATAACAAACGAGGCGCACTCAGTCGTTCCGTCGGACGGACGCGGCAGCTGATTCATGGTAAAATATGCCCTAGCCCCATTGTTTTTTTTTCTGTTTTTTTTTTCGTCTTTCCCGATCGAGTCGGGCGCCGCTGTAATCATCAGCGCTGCGCGGAGGGTTGTACGACCCCGCTTCCCCCGCCGATGGATCAAACGGCCATT